AAAGCATATTTGAAGGCTATGCAAAGAACTTTCACTTACAGTAAACTTGGTTTACTTATGACTGATATTTTATTTCAAAAGTAGACTTGCTACCTATCACAAAGGTTGAACTCTTAATTTTCAACAAAATACATAAACAGAACTTGTTACTATACAGAAATAAATAGAAATTCGTATTTAGCAATAAATCATAAAATCTGCAAAAGATCATAAAGATAGGGATGGAGGTTTAATGAAATTACTGTAATTTTTAAAAAATCATACACACAAACATAATTTTACTTGAACTTAATAACAAAATGCTACAGTACATAAATATCAAGTTATTGTCCAGAAATATTCCTTTAAAGTCTATGTTAGAAAATCAAAACACTTTTAATAGGTGGTTTTTGTTAAAACACTTTATTAGTTAAACCAACATATTTTTAGCTAACATTAAAAATGATATTTTGATAAAAAGTTACCTTCTTCAAGTTTTTTCTTCAGTTCTTCTATTTCCTTCTGAAACTGACGAAGCAAAGCATCCTTTGGATCTTCATTGATTCTAGCTTTATTTTTAATATTTTTAGCACGGTTGGCATAGCGTAATGTACTGATAGTTTCATCATAATTGTAATCTGCTGGCCCAATATTTGCACACTATTGAATAAGGAATACAAAGTAAAATGTTTTACATTTTACACAGTTAAAATTAGTACCATCATTACAAATCTACCTAAAAGGAATTTCTGAAGTGCATGTGCATTCTTCTGGGTGTCTTTTTTAAAAACAAAAGAGCCAAACCTATAGGATTCCAAATTAGACACTGTTATAGAGCTAGTGGTAGCATAGTGGCTAAAGCACTTGACTGCTAACCAGAAGGCTGGCGGTTCAAACCCACCAGCCACTCCTCGGAAGGAAGGTTGGGCAATCCTACTTCCGTAGTGATACTGCCTCGGAAACCCAAGGAGGGGTCGCTATGAGTCGGGGCCGACTCGATGGCACATAACAACAACAACAACAACAATAGAGCTAGTGGGAGCTCTGGTAGGGCATAGTGGCTAAAGCACTTGACTGCTAACCAGACGGCTGGTGGTTTCAAACCCACTAGTCACTCCTCGGAAGGAAGGTTGGGCAATTCTGCTTCCGTAGTGATACTGCCTCGGAAACCCAAGGAGGGGTCTGACTCGACGGCACACAACAACAACAACAACAACAACATAGAGCTAGTACACATGGTATGCAAGACAAAGAATAACCACAATTTAAAAAAGTAAAATAGCCAGTAGTTTGTAAAAAAAAAAAATAGCATGCTTATAATTTTTTACATAAATTGGAATCTTAAATCTGCCTTGTTAATTCTCCACCCATTAAATCTTACCATCATGGTTTTTGAATTTCCTCCCAAGGAATCTTGAAGAAGACGAGTCAACTTAGAGTTACGATAAGGCACATGAGTGCTTTTTCCATCAACCAAGGCAGAAATTACATTACCAAGGGTAGAAAGTGAAAGGTTGATTTTTGTAGCTTCCTTCAGGCGCTGTCCAGTCGCTCCAGTTTTTGCTTGTCTTTCTGAACCCTAATAATAAAGAAAGAAATGTAGCTAATACACAAAAATTCAGACTAATCAAGTTTATTTTTTTAAGGTTATTTAAAAAATTTGACATGATGTCTGGAGTTTGCTTCAAAATAATACAAGAGAGAAAGAAGTGGCTGCGGTTAAAGAAATGTAACAGGATGGGTCAAGAGACAACTGTTAAAGCTGGACAATGGGGGCAGGTACATGGGGTCATTATACTATTCTATCTACTTTTGTGTACGTTCAAATCTTCTATAATAAACAGTCAAAAACACAGGTTAACATGTTTAGCACTTCTGTTCTACCTCTTTGCGTAACTCTTTGCATAGCGCCTAGGTTCTTAAAAGCTTCCAAGTGGCCATCTAAGGCCAACAATTGGTCTATATTTGCCTGGAGCAACAGAGGAAGGAGAGTCAGGAATGAAAAAAAAGAAAAAAGCAAGCCCACTGCCATCAAATGGATTCCAACTCATAGCAACCTCATAGGACAGAGTAGAATTGCTCTATAGAGTTTCCAAGGCTATAAATCTCTACAGAAGCAGACTGCCCTATCTTTCATGGAGCAGTGGGTAGGCTTGAACCCTCAAGCTTTCCGTTTGTCGCCAAGCACATTAACCACCATGCCAGCAGAGCTTAAGTCAGGAATAGGAGGAGGAAATGGAATGAGTGACTAATTGCCTCCATGAAAAAATGCCTCCTCTGCCATGAGTCCAGAAGAACTGGATGGTGCTTGGCTAACATTACTGAATATTTTGATCAAAGAGTCCACAGAAGAATCCTGATCAAAAGGGGGGAATATAGATAGAATTTCAAATTTTCATAGAATCTTGACATTCTGAAGCCACGGAGGCTAGATGAATTCCCAAAACTACTGCCCTGAGATAGTCTTTAAGCTTTAAGCCTAAGACCAAAAATATCCTCTGAAGTTGTTTTTCAAACCAAACAGTACTTTAGCTTAACTAGTAAAGAATGCCTGCCTTAAACCTTATGCTCTTTCAACATCTATCTTATGGGTTCAAATTGACAACAGCAACTCAAAAGATTATACAGGAACTTTAGGAGGCAATGAGTTTATATTAATTGGCGAGGGACAACTCAGAAAAGGAGAGTAAGAATGATTGCAAAATTAGAAGAATTTAATCAACGTGATTAAATTGTACATGTAAAAACTGTTGAACTTGTGTCTGTTTTGCTGTATATATTTTCAACAATAACAATAAATTATTTTAAAAAATCACACAAACACAAGTAAACAACTAAAAAATCATGTGTATATCATACCTCTTCACTTTAATTTTGATTTACTTATAAAATAAAACAAAATCAGAAGAAGTATTCCTTAAGTAGTATCCTGTTACTTACAGCAAGATCTACAAGATGGAGTTTTCCCATCCTGACATGCATGTTACCATCAACGCCTTTTTCACTGCATTCTATAGTAATTGTAAAGATTGCATGGGAACGGGAACTATGTTCATTCATATTAGTTGCACCAACAGAACCTTTAATAAAGGAAGGAATTGATTAAAAAGTGTAAAAACGGAGAGTGTCTTTAAAAATAATTAAATATCCAAAACAACTTAAAATACATGATTTCATCAAAACCAAAAGCCAGTGAGCATGACTAAACCATAAAGTATAGCTGTACTTAGCCATTATTAAAAATTTCTCCAACAATTTATGTTGATAACTGCAGTGCAGTGAATGACTTGGTATGGCTTTTCTAGGCAGTCTTTGTAACTCCCACCGGTTTATTGGGTTGTTGCTGTTGTTATGTGCCATCAAGTCGGACCCAACTCATAGCGACCTTCCTTGGGTTTCCGAGGCAGTATCACTACGGAA